TTCATCAGAGAGCTGGAAGAGGAAATCTCTGAGCTGATGAAGAGGAGCGCTGAGGTGGAGCAGCTCTCTCTCTCTGAAGACCACCTCCATCTTCTCCAGTCCTCAAACATCCATCAGCCACCACCCACCAAGGACTGGACAGAGGTCAGTGTTTGTCCTTCATATGAGGGGACCGTGGTGAGAGCTGTGTCTCAGCTGGAGGAGACACTCAGTAAGAAGATGAAGAAGTGGTTTGCTGAGCTGAAGACGGTCCAGATGTTTGCAGTGGATCTGACTCTTGATCCTGAAACAGCTCATCCTTATCTCATCCTGTCTGACGATGGGAAACAAGTGAAACGTGGTGATGTGAAGAAGAATCTCCCAAACAACCCAGAGAGATTTTCTAGCTGGTACTGTGTTTTAACAAAGCAGAGTTTCTCTTCAGGCAGATTCTACTTTGAGGTTCAGGTTGAAGGAAAGACTCACTGGTTTTTAGGAGTGATCAGAGAGTCAGTCGACAGGAAGAGATTCATCTCACTGAGTCCTCAGGATGGTTACTGGATCATGTTTGATAAATGGAAATGAATACAAAGCTTTTGATGATCCTCCAGTTGTTCTCTCTCTGAAGTCTGGTCCTCAGAAGGTGGGGGTGTTTGTGGACTATGAGGAGGGTGTGGTCTCCTTTTATGACGTAGAAGCTGCAGCTCTCATCTACTCCTTCACTGGCTGCTCCTTCACTGAGAAGCTCTTCCCGTTCTTTAATCCTGGTGTTTATTACGACGGTAGAAACTCTGCTCCTCTGATCATCTCTCCTGTCGGAGTAAATTAATCATTCTCTGATTTCATGTGATGAGTTTATTCAATAAAGGGAATAAATGTAAATATACATTTCTTTATTTCTGTATCATGATCCTTATGGAAAATATCTATTTCAAGCTTAAATCCAGATTTTATTTTCACTAAATATCCAAAGCTGAAGTTTTACTTAGCAAAACAATATATATCTGATGTGCAGCCTCTGAAAACATTTTGACTTTTATATTTTCATAAACCTTAACTTGATAAACACTGAACAGGATTGTCTGGTTTACACATGAGCAATATTCATTAATATCAACAGTTCATACAATTACATGTTAATACACAAACTATTTCTTCATGTAAGAGCATCTCACTGGTGTGAATGAGTGAAACCTCACCAGCTTACTACCATATTTAATTGACGGGATGTAATTTTCATGACTTTTTTTTAGACAAAGAAGTTGTTTAAGCAACATTTCTGTGGTCGGTCTGTGAACATTCAGCCTTCGCAATGGTTTTCTCCGGGATGTGGGAGATGTGAGGTGCAGTTAACGGGACGGCGTGACTCCTCCAGCACCGGGCGGTCCGCATCACCTCAGCCCGCAGAGAGCAGCCTGTTCTCGGCCAGACGTCTGTGACATGCTGCGCTTGTATTACGGTGACCAGACGTCTGGATTTAAGGCAAACCGTCCTGTCCAGCGTCCCGGACGCGTATTTGCACTGGTAGATCTGCAGGGCATTGAACCCGACATCCCGACCCGCTCTGCATGTGATAAACTGCTCGTTCCTCCTCACTGAGAGCAAAACACTCGACTAGATCACCACTCTTTGCTGTCCTGCTCCGAAATGGTGGAACGAGCTCTCTGAAGACACCAGGACCACAGAGAACCTCCACATCTTCAGACTAAAGACACACCTCCACTAAACAGCCAATCATAGCACTTAGCTGTTATCTTTAGCACCTTGTAGATCGGCTCATTTGATGAAATCCACTTTGTTCTGAGTTTGTATCCTTATGGTTTTAATGCACTTTGGATAAAAGCGTCACCTACATGACATGTCATTTAATGTAATAACACAAAACATGAGGGGGGGGGGGGTTGAATAATAACAGTTTACTTTCCAAAAAGTGTTTTTCCTTCTCATAAATTATTTGTCGAAAGTCTTTAGATATTTCCTGCATTGTTGCGTTTGTGTTCTTTAGTCTTCGTTATATTTGGACTTTTTCACCAGTCGGAAGAATCAAATTCCAAACAGATCAGTGGTGTCCAGAAATATTTATTCTTCTTCTTGTCAAATGAATATACTCAACAGGTACACACATCAACATGGTGCAACTAATTATATATATATATATATTAATTAGAGAGAGAGAGCTTCTTATAAACTGTGCAGATTCAAACACGTTTTAAATGGCGACGTAGTTTAAGGCGGAGGAGAGTGGAGAAGACTTTAGAGGGCGTCGAGGCTCGGAGGAAGAAGGCGTGAACACGTCTCACTCACTCATCTCTCACTCACTCACCACCTCCGGCTCTCCACCACAAGCAGAGAAAACACGCGTTACGAATCACAGCCGCTAACTTATGAAGCAACACAAGAGACTTTTGTCCTTTTACGTGTTTGAAATGTAATAATAACCAAAATATAAACCAGATCTGCATTTAAAATTCACTCTTTGAATTCCCAGTGTAGTTTCTTACATTTTGACAGGAAGCAAAAGCAAGAGGTCGCTTCCATCCGCGCGTTTCATTTTAACAACATTGATGTCCTCTTATTGGGAAAAACAGCCGATGAAGGGCATTAAACTACGGGATGAGGCCAAGAAGATTTTAATATTACTCTTTAGGTTGAGTTTCTAAACTTCTAATCAGATGTTCTCTTTTCCTTTTTCAGGTTTTAAAATGATTCAATTAACGGCGATTCATCAGCGTAACTCATTTAAACTGACTGAGCAGAACAAACCTTCAACACGTTGGAGAATCTCGTCTCCAAACTGCGAGTTGATCCAAGGAAAATAAAAAAAACATCACAAACCAAACTTAAAACTATTTGGTCCACTTCTAACTTTTCAGATGCATTTCTGTAAAGCAGTTTGTCTAATAGACGGACCTTTCTTGTTGGACGTTGCTTATTGATCGATATCGAGCCGCATACAGGAAGTGAGGAGTCACAGACAGGAAGTGAGGAGTCACAGACAGGAAGTGAGAGCGACGGAACAATGGAAGTATATAATGAAACTGGAGAGTTCCGGTTTGGCGCCTCGGAGGACATTGCGACATCTCCACCCGCCGCTGAAAAAACTAAACTGTTTCCCCCACGAGGAAACGGAAAAGCAAACATCCAGAGAATCTAATAAATCCTAACTGTCCTATTTAAATAACTAAAGTCATGCCTTCAGAGGACTGGAGCAAAGTAAAAATAAAAGCAAGAGAAAGCGAGGCGGCACTTTGTTCAAAATACACAGAAACACGACACCTTCAACCAAACAGAATTATTAGTTAATTATAGAAAAAATCTGCTTCTGTATCAAGTCATAGTCCATTATGTTATAGCTGCAACTGTTGATGCGCGCGCACACACACGCGCACACAGACGATGTAATTCACAACTTCCACTAAATCAGGAACAAATGTACTTAAAGCAACAAGTCACATAAACTATGTAGGTCATTTCTCACACACACACACACACACACACACACACACACATGCACGCACGCACGCACAAGCACGCACACACACACACACACACACAGGTGGTTCACACCAGCAGGTTGGTCCAGACCTTCAGGCTTTGAGCGACAAGCTCCTCCAAAAAACGCAGTAGACGAGTGGAGGGGAAAAGGAAAATAGTTAAACGGATAAAGAGGAGTTAAAGAGGACTCGCATGGAATCCAACAGGATGTGATGTCAGCAGAGGGCGGGGTCAGAGGGGAAGAGAAAACTCTGTCACTTCCCGTTGGACATGGTTCTCCCCGCCCTCCTCCCTGCCTGCCTGGACTCGTGACATCACTTCCTTTCCAACATCACCAACGACCGTCTGATTTCTACCCCAAGAGACTAAAACAAACGTTTACAGGAAGAACGTCGGCTCACCGGCCGCCGCGTTTTACAGCAGAGAAGAAGAGACGAAGTGTTCAGAACCTGGAGACTCTCCGACTGAGGCAAGAGGAGTTCACATTCATCATCTACAGGAGGAACCAGCGGGGGGTTAATGGGAGGAGCCAGTGTGCAGGGTGGGCGGAGGGGGGTTGATCCCGCTGCTCATGAAGAAAAGGCCTCCTTCTGGGTGAATTTTGGAATATTGCAGTTCTCCGGATGGGGGGGGGGGAGGGGCTCCTCTCCTGGCCAGGTTACCTGTTGTCCTTCAGCATCAGGCGGAAGACGTGGAGCTGATGTATGCTGGTGGACAACCTGGGAGAGGGGGATTAAGTAATGAAATGCCTGCCGGTCCATAGAGGGCGCCATCGGCCAGTCAGGAGCTTTCCACCGCACGTCATCCACTGCGGCTCGGTGGTGCACTTCAGCACCTCCACGCCTGAGATGTGCAGACAGGTGAGCGCGTACGTACCTGGCGAAGCCGTTCAGCAGGGCCACGATCTCCTGCCGGGTCAGCTGGAAGCCCTGAGAGGGGCTGTGCTCGGGGAGGTTCTGGATCTCCTTCTCGGAGAAGAGGATCTTCAGAGCCGTGCCGAGGCCCTGAGTCTGGGGGGGTGAAGGGGAGGAGGTGAACGCAGGTGTGTGTTTGTTTCATTACAGCACGGTCGCTCCTCTTCCCCACATCGGGTTCATATTTAATCCCTGCAAGCGAACCTGGCGCTTTAGAGATCACGTGCAACTTTCCACACAGGCGACATTTACTGCAGAAGACGCAGTCCATGATCCTGGATATGTTTTTAGAGTGCAGGCGGAACTCCTCCTGACGGGGGGAAAAGGGAGCAGACGGATGGCGGTTTGTTTTTACTTAATTAAAAACATGAGTAAACAATCCGCCCACTGAAAAAAGGGCACCTGCTCTCTCTGAAAGCACAAAGACAAACAAAGCGGAGTACAACACACACACACATACACACACACACACACACACACATTCACCTTTAATATTTTGGCTTCGATTTTGTGTCCGGCGAACATGGACTTCTCGTCAAAGTGCATCGGGAAAGCTCTGGAAGACAGAAGCAGCGGTTCGTCTCTCAAGAACTGCGAAAGAGCAGGCGGCTCGTAGCAGAACCACAGCGTCCAAGTACTACCACGGCGTCCAAGTACTACCACGGCGTCCAAGTACTACCACGGCATCAGCGTCCCACCTGATCTCGCTGAAGACCTGCAGCAGCAGCTCCTTGGTGGCTGCGTCCTCCTGCAGGTTCCCCGTGTACAGGTTGACGAAGGCTCGCTCGAAGTACGGCGCCACCTTGTAGAGCGCGCGCAGCTCGATCAGGTACAGGAAGTAGAGGTTCTTCAGGCGCCGCGTGCCCTCGCCCTTCGTCTTCGCCGTCTCGAAGCGCTGCCGGAACTCCTGGACGTTGGGACCCCACACGGAGCGGTCCCAGCCCTCTGGGGGGGGGCAGATGGAGGACATTTGAATACGTTTCTTATGGATGGAACAACAACAACAACGGTGACCCTTGGAAACCAGCGACGTACCGTCCAGCAGGTACTGGGCACACAGGTGGATGTTGATGCTGCTGTGGAGGCCCGAGATGAGTCGGTAGAAAACTCTCTTCTCTAAACAAAGGCCTGAGGACGCAGAGAGGACGGCGGTGAAGAGGACGCCCGTTTGTCATCCAGAGGAACAAGCTAAAGAGACACACATGTTCCTCGAGAACTCTCCTCATGCTGGTGGTTTACTCCGTCCACATCGTGAGAAGACAAACGTCTTTACAATTACAATTACAAAGAGAAGCTGCTGCCGTCAGCTGGAGGACGACGGGAGACTTTCATTTCACGGCGGGGTTCCGTTCACACAGGAGGGTTTTCAAAATGTAAAAAGAGACCAAATAAAATCCACAAAATGAGGAGATAAAAAAAAAAAAAAGCCTCTCTTGTGAAACGGGAGACGCAGAACATTTATGATGGAGGTGGAGAGCTGCAGAAAGCAGGAGGAGGTTCTCACCTTCCAGCCACGTGTAGAAGCTCTCTCCTGCGACAACACACAAAAAGCACCTCAGTTCTGTGGGTTCTTTCTCTTTTTTTAAATTTTTGTTTTCACACAACAACTAAAAATAAATTGACTTGAAGACGGAAGTTTTACTCACCGTCGTCGTCTCCTGAACACAGAAAGACAAAGAACAAAGCTCCGTTAGACCGTCGCTATCAATAACATCGATCAACGATCCTTCATCATCTGGATGGTGTTTCCTGTCCGGTGTGATGCATTATGGGTAAAGATGTGAAGCAGAGTTGTTGTTCACAAGCTGAGGTTTCTGCTTTTACTTGCTTGGTGTTTATTTTCCTGCTCTAGATGTGAAATCAATGATTCTCTGAAAATGATTTTGACTTTAATACTTTGTCAAAATGTTTTGTAAAGAGAAACAAAACGTAATTCAGGTAAAACATTAAATAGTGTGAATAACAATATGAATTTGACCAAACAACATTTTCTCAATAATAGAAATGATTTTTGAAAACCAGAAACTGTAGCTGATGAAACTCTAAAGTCTATTTATTTATTAATGGCTCACCTCTGCTCGGAACCAGAGGGTTCAAAGGTCGGTACACCGATCTGGGCCTGTCGACAAACACACAAATACATCGTTTACAGTCAAACTGTCAGGAGGCAGATTTCCAACCTGATATTTGACCATAAAATAAAAAGCAGACAGAGCAGAAGTTTGCAGCTACATTTTCTTCTAAAGACGTTTCAGAGACGGTCAGTTATTTGTTTGAACATAAAGAGTAAAAGTCTGTGTTGTATCAGAAACACTGCAGACACACTAACAACATTTATAATGCAGAATTTACCCCTTTAATCTCCTTTTGGGAACATTTGGTTTGCGATTCATTTAAATACAGCAGTTGCGTTTGAGCAGGGAAATGGATTTAGATTTACAGACCGATCAATAACACGAAAGGTTAAAACTTTCCCCTCAGGAGCCTTTGCTCGGGAACAGGAACGTTATGAGGAATTCCTTTCATCGGCAAATAACTCTGACAATTAGAAAGTTAAGAAAAGAGGAATCTGCAAAATAGAGTAAGAGTCTGTGTGACTCACTTGAAGCAGTTTTCCTCGTAGATGCTGTTCCACACTCTCCAGGCTGAAGGACCTTTGTAGCCAGTGAACCGCTCCGGATTCAGCAGCAGATCCACGTACTCAGAATCTGGAGAGGTTTCATCTAACACACACACACACACACACGCACATAAGAGCGAGATTAGAAAAAGAACCACCCTGTGTGGATTTAGATATTTCAGGTGTTGCTACGGCGATGCCGGATGAAGGCGGTCGGCCCAGCGGGTCACGTGTCCTCACCATCCAGCTCACAGAAGTGGTCCTGCGCGTCGTCGTGTCTCGCCCAGTCAGCGAACGCCTGTTTACTCCGGTTACTGGAACGGGGAATAAAAAGATGTGAAAATGATCAGACCTATTTGAAGAAAGGACAAAATGTGGAAGTGAATGTCGGTAGAAAAACGTCCTTTGTGCTGGTTGGTTTTGTCTTTCCTGGCGTGACGTCCTCTGGCTGTTTATGTGTCCGTGAACTCGCCTGCACTCGTTTTGTAATCACGTCAATCGAAAATAGAAAACGGGGGGGTTCTAATAACTGGATTCATGGTTTAACTCAACTTCAGGGATCCAGACTCCCTGATAACTGATTAATGAAGAGACGGCAGCGCTGTCAAAGATTTACAGTTCAAACAAATAGACACAGAAGATCCAGCAGCTCGTGCTGAGAAGCGCACGAAACAGTCGGAGAGTCGGTTCTCTTCCTGGTTTGTTCCCCCGTGAGATTATTTATAGACCTTCGAGTCGAGCCGGTTTTGGAGCTCGCTTTGCATTCGGAGCAAACGAGCCGAAGGGGAAAAGAGACAAGAGCGGGACGGGGCGACGGGACGGGGCGGGGCGAGGCCCGCGGGCTCACCTCAGGGTGCTGTTGATGGCGCCCAGCTCTTTGACCTGCTCGCACTCCGCCGCGTCCGGGGCCGGGTCGGCCGCAGGAGAGTACTGGAGACGGAGGGGAGAGAAGCCGTTAGCGAGAGGGACGTCTCATGCACACGCACACACACATACACATACACACACACACACACACACACACACTGTCATGTGCTTCATGCTTTCCAGCCTGCGGTCAAAGAAACACACTCGACCGAAGCGTCCAGAGCAGCTCTTGGTCGTCACAAGACAAACACTCGAAAAATGTCGTGGAAAATGTCAGAGCAGATAAGTCGAGTGTGAACAGGAGTGAAGTGTGTGTGTGTGTGTGCGTGTGTGTGTGTGTGCACGCTCACGGAATCAGCTAATGAGACAGAAAGTGCTGGAACAAACACAGCTGCTGCTGAACTCCATTAAACAAGTGGAAAAGGGGGGGTTTGTTTTCCAGAGATGAACCTGTGTAAAGTCCATCGGGTTCAAGGTAAAGCGTCCATCTGGTTCGGTTCCACACTGGGTATAAAACCACTGATGAAAGTAGTGTGTGCGAGTGTGTCTGCACGCACACACACTCGCATGTGACTCACTGAATGTAGATTCATCCAATGTGGAAAACGTTACGCCCCATTTCCTCCTATTTGTTTGATACAACGAGTCAACAGCTGTTTTAGAAAATTACTGTGACTTTTGGCTTTTTTTGATTGAACTATTTTGTTGGGATTTTTTACTGAAGATTTACGTCTTCAGTAGGAACCAAAGCAGATTAAGCCTTAGAACAGTCATTTAGAAAGGTGAAAGGGGAAGCAGACACAAAGGATTGTGGGTATTAGTTAACGCCTGGACTTCACAGCATCCGTCTACATTCTCACCTTGTTGTAGTTCCCCGACTTGATGCCCACTGGGATCTTACTCTGAAACACAACAGATGAAACATGAGGCCGCTTTCTCTCAACAGCTCCACCAATGACGCCCAAATCATCACCATGACGACGGCATTAAAGCTGCTTTTACAAGTCAAACATTCTGTGAAACAAAAGTAATTCACTAAAAAAGAAGTACAGGCTAACAGACTCGAATGTCTCTTTGTTTGTTTCATCTTCTGATGCTTCATGCTTGACATGTGCTCAATAAATAAACTATTACAATTATTATGTAGTGCAGTAATTCAATACAATATATTAAATATTAAAGTGATTCTCTCCCCATGTTTTGCTCCTTTTTTTAGTGATATAACTTGTATATCTATGTATAACTTGTCATGTACCATGTAGCTGCGATGTACTGCGTCATCACTCTTAATGCAAAGCGTGTGTGTGTGTGTGTGTGTGTGTGTGTGTGGTTGACCTCTGACCTCTGGACAGGGTTCCACATGACAGTCTTTGATGGAACAATGTCCATCATCGGGCCAGAAGGGACACGGTCGCTTCAGGTTCACCTGGAGAGGAGAAGACTCAATTATTACTCTTTTCCTTCGGGTTGGAGTCACATCACTACTAATAGAAGTATTCATGTAAATATGTGGAAACGCATTCCGAATACTACTACAAGTATTCAGGTGTATTGTGATTTATGTAGAAATGAAGATTTCTTTGCAGCACAAGTTTATAAAACGTGACATTTTGTTGTGAAGTAAACGGACGGTTTATTCAGCAGGAACAGTTAGTCGACTAGTTGATGGACGGAGGATCACTTTAATAACCGTTTAAAGGTTCCAGAGATGCTCCTTTTTTAAATTACTGTAACAAATCTTGAGTTTCACAGTTGGTTGGACAAAGTTTACTATTTAAAAAGTAAAAAAACCAACCAATCAATCATGGAGAAAAGGATGCGTAGATTCATCCATAAGAGACGTAGACTTTTTTCTTCCTTATTAGAATACATATTATATTTTAAGACATTAATACTAATTAATACTAATACTTTCTCCACCGAGGCCCTGGAGACGTGTTAAACACCACACGAAAAATCAAACGTAAGCGACGACTCATGTCAGCATGAAAAAAAAAAAAAGAAAAGACGTTTGCAACGTTAAGAAAGCATTTGAAAACATTTCTTGACTTTGTAACAGGTTTGATAATTAGTTCCTGAAGGCAACCTTTAATTAATCAGCGAGCTGAAATACGAGTTCAGCACGACGGATGAGGTAAAACAGAACGATCTTAAAGTACTACTACTGTTCAACTACTGTGGATACTGGTAAAAGTATTTCACAATACCGATTGTCCTTCCTGTTAAAACGACCGAATGGGACTAAAAAGTCAAATCTGATTGACTGCAGACGCACAAACACAAAAACGGGTTGTGTTTGTTTTGAGAGCGGCATGAACCTGATTATCAGGGCGCAGCCCTCCTGGTTACCGGCCTCCTCCCTGCCTACCTGAGAAGGAGAGGAGCCTCCGCGAGAGCCCGAAAATCACACGTTTACTGCGGGAAAATAGACCATGAAATACAACGACTTCACCGGTTTCCTTCTCCACAGATGTGAGACATCCAGATGTTATTTCCCTTCTTGAGAGGAAAGGTTGAAAGGAAAGGGCGAGCAAAGGTCATCGGACTCTTCTACTCGTAAACAAAGAATTACAATATTAAGCGTTTGTTGGGAAAATGACTTTCCGCAGAATGTTTTTCTTCCCTTTTCGTCAGACGAAGTGTCGTCTACTCGTTATTCACGAGGTGCAGGTGGAGCTCTTACCCTGTAGTACCTGAAGTAGTCTTTCTCCGTCAGCCTCTTGATGCGAGGGTAAAGCTTGAAGTTGTTGAACACGTCGATGCTTTCCACGTCGCAGAAGCAGTCGTCCAGGACGCCCGTCAGCTGAGGCGCAGACGATTAGTTTAACATCACAGACAAAGATTCACGAATAAATGCAAAATAATTTAGATGCTCAATAATTTAGGGACAGTTTCAATAATACGTTTCACGTCTTCAAACAACATGTCATCTTGCTCGCTTGATTTCAGCTCATTAAAACAACATCTAAATAAAGAAGGCACCAAATTCACAGCGAACGCTCGCAGGCGAAAAGAATCAACCGTTGCAGAACAAAACGATATAAAGCTGTATTCATAGATTCAATCTCACACACCAACAACTCCACCTGCTTGCCCGTCGAGCCCCCACCCAGCGCCCTTCACAGCAGGGGGGCCCTTTCTATACATAATACATCCACCGCGGCGGTTACCTGAAGCCACACATTCAAGATTCATGCCTCCAGCTGAGCTTCGGCTGCAGACACGTTACAGCGTGAGCCCCTTAAGGAGCTCAGTACACAGAGCAAGGCGTTAAAAGGTGGGGTGGGGGGGGGGGCGTTAACACCACCCGGGTGTGGTGAGGAGGCTTTGCGCTACGTGACACCGCCTGCTGTCGTAAGCCGCTGCACACACCTGCTTTAAGTGGATGAAAAACAGAGCGCATCTTGCGAGCGACCAAAAGGGGTCACGGAAATCACGACGCAACTGATGAGGATTTTCTTGAAAATCTGATTAATTGTTTGGTCTGTAAAATGTAAAAAAAATAATCTTAATAAGCAGTGATTAATAAACGTCCTAATTGTCACACGGCCTACGACAAAGTACCTTGTGTTATACTGAGCGATACTAAAGTACTTCTACAGTGACTTAAACGGACGCGTAAAACGATCGACGACCACGTCAGCGTTTCATCATGTAACTGGTTGCTAAGCAGTGGACACTTCATATTACTGATATAGTTTTAATGGAGATCAATGTTAGCTAAATATTTGCTAATAACTAATAAACATAACAACCGAAAATTAGAAATTGCTGAAATGATTAGTTGTTAAAAATAGTTCATATTTTATAACAGTGGCAAATTACACATAAAGACATCTATTCAGGCAAAGACCAAGGAAGTTCTAAAGCACTTTATTTTAATGGCTTAAATAATCTCCTTTTCATTTTTTTCATAAATGACCCCACATTTAAACTAGAGGACAACATTGAAGACTAAGATATAACTGAGCATATGGAGCCATCATTAGGTACATGCTTAACCATTAGAAACAGTGATCTGATACTTATTTAAAACCCTTTTTTCCCCACTCATATCAGTCTAACTCAAGTTAGTCAGAATTGTGTCGTCTTCTGCCCCTCGGACGCTGAGAAAAACACCTGGAAAGCCCTCAGTAAAGAACAAAACCCTTCAAAATGAACCAAACCTCCGAGTACAGCCCTCCACTGAGCACCACGAAAGACAGGAAGAGGCAAATCCCTCTCAGCATCTTTCTGTTCCGCCACTTCTGTTCAACTTAAATTAAAACTTCCTCTCATTGAGCCTGGTGGCTCTGTCTGTGGGCTGGCACCGCAGACCCGCAGTCACACGCTGCGGAGCCCCGCCTCCAAACAACCAGCTGTCAAACGCGTACGCCCCGCCCCTCTCCACCGGCGCCGCGGGCTTTGTAGTCCGCTTCCGGGGACTGAGGCCGTTGTGGGCGATCGTTGGGTGCGGCGCGAAAGACTACGCCTCCCAGGGGAGGGCGGGGGGGCGGAAGCTCTGCGACAACCAATCACGGTACACCACGCTGATCTACTCGCTAATGGGGATGACAGCCGTTTGGATCAAAATAACAAGTTGTGTCTGAAGTCCGGACGTTTGGATTTTGTAAATATTTTAATTGTCTTTTTAAAAAAAAAATGAATCGTCTGCTAGCTTAATTGATTGATTGCATTAATTGAAAAGCTTCCATTTGGGTAAATATTCGTATGACGACACGGAAGTTAGGCAACAACTCTAACGGAAGAATTGTGTGTATTTCTTTAGATGAATACATGTGACCGTCCTGTAATGTAAGTTAGTTCAATTTAACGTCTACAACGTGACATGAAGGTTAACTGTATCATGCTAATTAGCCTTGAAAAATCTACTTCCTACTACTTCCACACACACACACACACACACACACAGAGGTACTGCAGGTCCTTCCTCCCTGCTGCGCTCAGGCTGCACAACCAACGGTGACAATGTGCGTACATACTGTGTGTACATATATGCATTAGTCCAAGTATATTAAGTTACGGTTGTCTTTGCACTCCTTAAATATATATTTTTACCTACCTACTTATTACTGCTGCTCTTGTTTTTTACCATGTATCTGTCCACTTTGCTGCCGCGATGCTGTGAATGACCCCATTGTGGGACTAATAAAGGAATATTATCTTATCTCATCTTAGAGATGGTTGCTGCTAGCAAACAACACACGCGCACACCCTCGGTGACGTCATTTCAAGTAGAACGTGCTAGAACATTTCCTGGACGATGGCCGTTGTCTTGTATTGCCACGTTTTAAGTCTTAACGTAAAACAACAAAGACCCTTCAACAACATCGTCGCCTCGAACACACACGGTTCCGCGAGACTTACATGGCAGAAACAGCTCTGGTCCGGGCTCTCCGGGGTTCGGCTCGGGTCCGGGCTCTCCGGGGCTCGGCTCGGGTTCGGGACTCGGCTCGGGCTCTCCGGGGTTCGGCTCGGGTCCGGGGCTCGGCTCGGGTCCGGGCTGTGCTGCGTTCGGGGCTTTACGTCGTTTTGGTGAAACCAACCGAGAACAAAGTTCCCGAAGAACCAGGCCACCAGCAAAACACCTAACGCCTGAAAAGTTACTTTCCACATCACTCACCGCCCTGGCGGAGCACCAGCGGGGGGGCGGGAATACACTGAATAACAAACACACAAGAATCGTCGGGACTTCTGTCAGCGCGGTTCGTCCTCCTGCTTGTGTGGCGACTTTCGTAGCTACGGAGACGTTAGCTTCCGGCTAGCCGAAGCTAGCATCCGCAGTGACTGTAAAGAAATGGGAGCGGGTCGATGAACCGAGCTGCCCGGTGTCTGGCGAGCCTCGCGCGGACGTTTAGAAGTGTAACCGCCCTCACACAATCGGGGTCATTGACTTGAGACGGTACTTCACTGGAGAAGTTTGTGTTCACGGGTTTACACCTTTAGCATCAAGTTAGCTAGCAAAAGGAGTGTGGGTTACTTCCGGAATTTCCTTTCAAAATAAAAACACACGGGGTTTTAAAATATTTATATTTGTTGATACATAGTATGTTTAAGGTAAACCCTTGTCAAGTGTTTTTTTATATCTGTATTGAATCTGTGTACATGATTAGTACATGAATGAGAATAAAGTAGATGTAAACTAACATCTAACTAAACATATTAATTAATTTACGTGTAAACATGATACATTTTGACAGATGTATTATGAAACTACCCATTAGTGTATACCAACATTAACCTTAAGTATGATTTATTCAATTCAGTTCAATTCATTTTATTTTGTATAGCCCAAAATCGCAAATTACAAATTTGCCTCAGAGGGCTTTACAGTCTGTACACATCCTCTGTCCCGAAACCCACACATCGGCACAGGAAAAACTCCCCAAAAAATGGAAAAACCCTTCCAAGATTTATCCAAAATATTATGACACAATATGCAATACTTTTATCCAAACGCCTTTTATTTTGAAACTGGAGTTCTTCTCCGAAACGCCTCAGATGTGTTTCCTCCGGTGACCAGCGGAGACGATAACAACACATTTTAGAGAACTTCCGCCTTTCATTGAGCAACAACTGCATATGAAAATAAGACACAAGATTGACATGAGAATGAGATGAAGTGTGACCTTCGCGGGACAAACATCTGCACAGTGAGCGGACACAGTGTTTGTTGCGGGGCTGCAGAGGACTGTAGTTGCTGTTTTTTGCGTTGCTGATTTTGATTGTGTCCACAGACCCTGAGTCTGAAGGAGGCGGTGCTTCAACGTCACGTTCGATAAATGAAACTTATCTTTAGTCAGCGCAGAGCAGCAGACTCTTGCGTTCCCGTCTAAAGAAATATTAAAAAAGATTTTGTCGATACTTTCTCAACAACTGACCCATACTGGTGAGTACACCTGTTTCAATAACTAAAACAAAACTTGTGCGTGAAGCTGCGCTCTATTCATTTCACGTGGATGAATTCATTAATATTATTTTTCGAATGCTGCAGTTATCATTCTTTTACAACTCTTATTAAAATGCAAATGAAATATGTAATAAAACAAATTATCATACTTTGACCTTTGTACTCCTTTGTATGTAGAGATGTCTGCTGTCAGCTGTCTGCTGTCTGAAGACCAGTTTCGATGCTCCATCTGTCTGGATGTGTTCACTGATCCAGTCTCCACACCATGTGGACACAACTTCTGCATGAACTGCATCACCAAACACTGGAGTTCTTATTACAAGTGCCAGTGTCCCTTGTGTAATGAGGCTTTTACCACCAGACCTGATTTGAGGGTCAACACCTTGTTCTCTGAGATGGTTGTTCAGTTCAGACAGTCTGCTCAGCAGAAAGCCAGCAGCAGCAGCTCAGAGCAACAAGAGTCCAAACCAGGAGAAGTTCCCTGTGACGTCTGCACTGGAACCAAAGTGAAGGCCCTCAAGTCCTGCCTGGTGTGTCTGGCCTCCTACTGTGAGACTCACCTGGAGCCTCATCTGACAGCTTCACGCCTGAGAAGACATCAGCTGGTCGACCCTGTGGAGAACCTGGAAGGCAGGATGTGTACGAAGCACGATAAACCTCTGGAGCTGTTCTGTAAGAGCGACCAGACGTGTGTCTGCATGCTCTGCCCCGCTTTGGACCACAAGATGCACAAGATTGTTCCTCTGAAAGAAGAATATGAAGAAAAGAACGCAGAGTTGGGGATGAAAAAGGTGGAGTTGCAGCAGATGATCCAGAAGAGACAGCTGAAGATTCAGGTGTTCAAACACTCTGTGAAGCGTATTAAAGAGAACGCCTACATGGAGGTCGCCGAGAGCGTTCGCGTCTTCACTTCCCTGAAGAAGTCACTTGATAGAGGCCTGAACAAGCTCATCAAAACGATAGAGGAGGAGCAGAAAACCACACAGAAACAAGCCGAGGCTTTCATCAGAGAGCTGGAGCGGGAAATCTCCGAGCTGAAGAAGAGGAGCGCTGAGCTGGAGCAGGTCTCCCTGTCCGGAGACCACGTCCACCTCCTTCAAAGCTTCCCGTACCTGAACGCCAATCCACCCACCGAGGACTGGACGGACGTCAGCGTCCAGCCGCCGTCCTACGAGGGGACCGTGGTGAGCGCTCTGCTCCAGCTGGAGAAGAACCTCAGCAGGGAGATGAAGAAGCTGTTTGCTGAAGCTGAGCTGAGGAGGGTCCAGAAGTTTGCCGTGGATGTGACCCTTGATCCTGAAACCGCTCATCCTGAACTCCTCCTGTCTGACGACGGGAAGCGAGTGAAACACGGAGATGTGAAGAAGAATCTCCCAGACAACCCAGAGAGATTTTCTCATTATAATTTTGTTTTGGCCAAGCAGAGCTTCTCCTCGGGCAGATCCTACTTTGAGGTTCAGGTTAGAGGGAAGCCCAAGTGGATCTTAGGCGTGGTCAGCGAGTCGGTGTACAGGAAGGGACTCGTCACCATGACACCTGAAGCTGGATACCGGACCATATGGCTGAGAAACGGAAATGAATACAAAGCCCTTGCCAGCCCGTCGGTTCCTCTCCGTCTGACGTCTGGTCCTCAGAAGGTGGGGGTGTTTGTGGACTATGAGGAGGGTGTGGTCTCCTTTTATGACGTAGAAGCTGCAGCTCTCATCTACTCCTTCACTGGCGGCTCCTTCGCTGAGAAGCTCCTCCCGTTCTTCAGTCCCTGCAGGAACGACAGTGGTCAGAACGCCGCCCCTCTGATCATCTCTCCCGTTAATCAAAAGGTCTGATCTTTATTTTATGATCAGCCGTTGAATGAACAGTGAAAAATCATATTAAATAATCCTCTTATACTTTGTCCAGAAGGTTGATTTATACTATAATACAGAAACTAATGCCGACACTGTGATTTGATTAGAGACATAAAAACTAAACAATCACAGGTGGATGAAGATCCTCACGTATGGCATCAAATGTGCATATTCTTCATTATTCTGTCACCCAATGAGTCACCAGATAAACAGGAAGAGTTTCACTGACAAAAGTTTGGATTTGTTTGATGGTTTTGCTTCTTAAAGACAAATGTATGAATGTAGTGATGAGTAATGTTGCTTTTAAATCACTGGGCTTTTGATATAATTGCACCGTTCATTTTAATTATCATATCGTTGGCTTTTACTTTCTTTCATTATTTCCCTTTTAAATGTTTTACATAAAGCAGTTTGGACGGCCGTTCGTTTTGTGTTTGAATAATAAAATCACCAGATTATTTTGGTTTTAAAAGGCTTCACTCACAAGTCCTTGACGGATTATTTTAAACACGTGATTTAGCTCTTTCCTAAAAGTCAGAGCAGGTTGATGTACATCACGTCAGTGACTAAAACAGAGGCTGTAAAGAGAATAAAAACCTGTTTTGTGATGATTGATCTTCGTCTGCAGTGACGTTTCTTGCAGTAAAGTCCCAGTTTTCAGTCTCTCACGGGTGTGTTTCCCTCCCGAGACCAGCGGATGTCGGCAGCGCACGTCGCAGGCAGGAGAGTTCGTGAAGGCCTCCAACGGCCTGTTGAACTTCCTCCTCTGATTACGCAACGCACGCTCAGACAGGAAGGACGAGGTTATAACATGATGATGTAACGTTGTTGTATTTTAGTTTCCTTTCAAAACCCCCTGGTTACATTTTCACACGTGGGACCGACGTCTTTTGGCGAAAAAGGTTTCTGGTGTCTGCAGGGGAAGGAAAATCAAAAAGACTTGATAGTTTCCTTAAAGATTAAACTCTGCAGGGGAAGGAAGGTGCAGACCGAGAGAAGCCAGAAGGTGCTCAAAAAACCACGGAGACATGATGAAGCCCCCAAAGAGCCGCTGAAGAGGAGCGCCGAGGCGGAGAAGCTCTCACTTCCATCTTCTCAGAATATTTGCTTTTACTCGTATTCGTAAAACTCTTTGTGCTACAAAAGTGAGAGAGAAAACCAGGCTTCGGAGGAACGGAAAGGTGAAAGGAATAAGCGAGGCGCTCAGCTCGTTCTGACCTGTTTGCGACAGACAGAAGGACAAAACATCTGCAACAAACCACAGGTGGCTTTGCTCCTTAAAGATTCCTTTGGGTCACACGAACATCACTAAGATCACGTCCGTATCTTCAGGAGGCAATAAAGTGACGCAATAAGAGCTTCAGCGTCACACGCCTCAGATAAAAGTGTCTGCAGGGCTAAAGTCGAGACAAGTGTCTCCGGGTTCTGTCTGAAGGTCTTTCTCAAGAACACGCAAGAGTCTCTGTCCGACACTGGTGAGTTTATAACGTTTACTTTATTTTAACAGTCAGTAACATAAAACTTAAACCTTAAAAGTTCTGGTACTTTTTTTTAGATAAATGGTAAATCAATTCAAATGTCTCTTCCTATATTTCTACAGGGGTCTAACTTGTTACACTGATCGCACGTCCAGTCTGACTCACTGTCGCTTAATTGTAGTTGATTTATTCTAAACACATCCGGATAACGACCTTTAAAAAAAAAAACAGAAAATAAAAATGAGTGTTCTGTCGCGCTCTGGCTTTGACCATTGAACCTGAGTCCGGTGATGAAGGGCTGAGTGTCACAACTTTTATTTTTTTACTCAGTGTGAAGAAATGTCTGCTGCCAGTAATCTGCAGTCTGAAGATCAGTTCCTGTGCTCCATCTGTCTGGATGTGTTCACTGATCCAGTCACCACATCATGTGGACACAACTTCTGCATAAACTGCATCAATGAACACTGGAACACCAGCAACCAGAACCTGTGTCCAATGTGTAAGAAGGACTTCATCACCAGACCTGATTTGAGGGTCAACACCTTCATCTCTGAGATGGTTGTTCAGTTCAGACAGTCTGCTCAGCAGAAAGCCAGCAGCAGCAGCTCAGAGCAACAAGAGTCCAAACCAGGAGAAGTTCCCTGTGACGTCTGCACTGGAACCAAAGTGAAGGCCCTCAAGTCCTGCCTGGTGTGTCTGGCCTCCTACTGTGAGACTCACCTGGAGCCTCATCTGACTATGTCAGGTCTGAAGAGACATCAGCTGATGGACCCTGTGGAGAACCTGGAAGGCAGGATGTGTACGAAGCACGATAAACCTCTGGAGCTGTTCTGTAAGAGCGACCAGACGTGTGTCTGCATGCTCTGCACTGTTTTAGACCACAAGAACCATGATGTTGTTCCTCTGGAAGAAGAATATGAAGAAAAGAAGGTCGAGCTGAAGAAGACAAAGGCTGAAATCCAGCAGATGATCCAGAAGAGAAGAGTGAAGATTCAGGAGATCAAACACTCGGTCGACCTCAGTGAGGAAGATGCAGGCAGAGAGAAAGCAGAAGGTGTTTCAGGTCTTCACTGATCTGATGGAGTCTGTTGGAAGAGGCTTGAAGGACCTCCTCAAAACAATAGAAGAGAAGCAGGAAGCCACAAAGAAACAGGCTGAAGCTTTCATCAGAGAGCTGGAAGAGGAAATCTCTGAGCTGATGAAGAGGAGCGCTGAGGTGGAGCAGCTGTCTCTCTCTGAAGACCACCTCCATCTTCTCCAGTCCTCAAACATCCATCAGCCACCACCCACCAAGGACTGGACAGAGGTCAGTGTTTGTCCTTCATATGAGGGGACTGTGGTGAGAGCTGTGTCTCAGCTGGAGGAGACACTCAGTAAGAAGATGAAGAAGTGGTTTGCTGAGCTGAAGACGGTCCAGATGTTTGCAGTGGATCTGACTCTTGATCCTGAAACAGCTCATCCTCGTCTCATCCTGTCTGACGATGGGAAACAAGTGAAACTTGGTGATGTGGAGAAGAAGCTTCCAAACAACCCAGAGAGATTTTCTAGCTGGTTCTGTGTTTTAACAAAGCAGAGTTTCTCTTCAGGCAGATTCTACTTTGAGGTTCAGGTTGAAGGAAAGACTGAGTGGTATTTAGGAGTGAACAGAGAGTCAGTCGACAGGAAGAGAATCATCTCATGGAGTCCTCAGAATGGTTACTGGATCATACGTTTGATAAATGGAAATCAATACCTTGCTTATGATGATCCTCCAGTTGTTCTCTCTGTGAAGTCTGGTCCTCAGAAGGTGGGGGTGTTTGTGGACTATGAGGAGGGTGTGGTCTCCTTTTATGACGTAGAAGCTGCAGCTCTCATCTACTCCTTCACTGGCTGCTCCTTCACTGAGAAGCTCTTCCCGTTCTTTCACCCTGGTTATTATTACAATGTTAGTAACTTTGCTCCTCTGATCATCTCTCCTGTTGGAGTAAATTAATCATTCTCTGATTTCATGTGATGATTTTATTCATTAAAGGGAATAAATGTACATATTTCATATAAATACTGTATGTTTTTCTCTTTATTTCTGTATCATGACGCCTTATGGAGAATATCTATTTCAACCTTTTGAATCCAGACTGTTTTATTTTCACTAAATATCCAAAGCTGAAGTTTGACTTTGAGTAAATCAGCAAAACAAATTATATCTGATGTGAAGCCTCTGAAAACATGTTGTTAAATATTTAATATTCTCATAAACGCCTCTGACCTTTCCATCATGTTCACAGAATACACTTTGTGTTGTTGTTATTGTGCATAAAAGTGAATTAATAATATAGATGCAAATGTTCTTTTGGTTTGAAAAGTGGTTTAAATTATTAAATCACTTCGGCTCGTTTTGGTTTGTTTTGTGAATATTTTTTTTATTTCTTTGTTTATTGCTCATGTGACAATTTGTCAGTGTAAATGACATGAGTTCCACAGAAAGATCAATTCTAACGTGAGTTAATGCACAAAGTTGATGAAATTGCACTTTCTTGTTTCTTGTTCTTCTGGGTTTGGATTATTAACTCCTTAAAGAATGTCGCCACTCCTGTGGTTCCAATCCCACAAACTCATAGAAGTCTTTAGAGAAAAAGAAATTCATATAAATAGTGTTGTACTTTTTCAACACTGATTTACTTTTATTTAAGTACGGTTTTGAATGTAGGACTGATACCCGTAGAGTTTTTTTCCCTGCGTAATGGAAAAAATGTATGTAACCCTTCAAAATGTTTCATTGTACGACCAAGGTTATAGATTGCAAGTGCTGGGATGGTGTGGCCATGATAAATAATTGAGCTGGAGTGTCTCACACCAATAAGATGCTACTCTTTTGGCTGTAGAGACACAACAAGTTAGTTTAGAGGCCCCTGTAAGAACTGGACGGAGGAAGGTTCTACTGAGCACGTAGCTGTGTTTCCCTTGCAAGGAAATGAAATAGAAATAAATAGAAAAAGATATATTTGATTCAGAGCCTTTATTCTTATTTACCGATTGTGCAAAATCTTCCACTACAAGTATTAGTACATTTACTTAAATACAGAATGTTAATACTATTAAGAAGTCAGGATGTCGAAAGGGTTGGTGCCCATGAAGGGGGGGGGGAATTATTGACACAGGGCTTCTCTTTCTGTGAGCTGATGAGAAATGAAAAAGGATTATTAACTTAATTGTCAGTTAATATACGGAAAAATATATCCTGCAAATATTAATATAATTGTTTTTAACAATTAAAAAAAGCTAATTATGGACAAACTACAACCACAAAAACAAGTTATATTGGAGATAATAAAAGGAAAAGTTTAAACAGGTTTTCTCATTTCTACATGAGACAGGAAAGAAAAAGTCGTAGTCATTGTAGCACAATATCACACATAAAGTAAATGTTGAGACAAAGAATGTTGATGCTGTGATTTTTTTGTCTTTGAAAATCTGGCTTTGAGATATTTTACCAGCCCCTCAAAAAATATCAGCAACTCTTGTACTTTTACTTTGAAATATAAACCCGTTTCCGTCTGATACATTTATTTTGAAAATTGCAACCGGAAGCTGTATTCTGTGCAGGGAAGCTTTCTTGATGATGCTGAGGAGAGAGCATCCTCCGCGGCAGGTCTCCCCGCAGGCGGGCCGTGCCTCTCGGTGGAGGGGATGTTAGAGAGCACCGCTCCCTCGCAGGCATCGTCTTTAGGCCGCAGACGGCTCGCGAGGACCCGGAAGTCAGCTTCGCGCTGCCGCGGACCTCCTGCGCGACGCGATGGTGGATCTGCCCGGGAGTGGCGCAGTGTCGCCCGGACACGACCGACGCGGACCGGGCTCCGGTAATAACGGGAAGAAAACGCCGAAAAGGGCCCGAACGAGAAGAGGCAGGCGAGGGAGGAAAAGGAGGAACAAGAAGAACAACAGGAGCAACAAAACACCACCTCCGTATTTCCCTCCGGAGGTATCTGCCGTCGTTCCGCCCGGGGGGATTAGCGGGGAGCCCGCCAGCTAGCTAGCGGTGCTGCAGCGAGCCTAGCTAGCTAACGTTCGCTAGCTTCAGGCTAGCTAGCGACGCATTTAGTTTACAGAAATAAAACGTTTCCAACGTGGTGTGAATATGATGTCACGGTGAGTCTCGAGACTTCTAGTCTGCAGAGAAGGTCACGACAAACCGCGCTCACATATCGGACAATTCTCCATGAATGTGTCCGTGTGGTGACGGAACAATGTCAGAGAAGTTTACTTCATGTTTGTTCAGAAATGATGGAGCTACTTTAATAATTCGGCCTGTTCGCCAAGAAACAATGTTTGTTGTGGTCATTTTAGCTCCCAACCTCCTGAAAGTCCTGAGCTACTCACTTATATTCTGTTAAATAAAGTAATACACGTGATAACAGACTAGCTGCTGATATTAAAAGCTGTGCCGAATAGATACAACAATCATTTAGATTTAACAAGATGTCCAGATTCACCATTATGTTTTTCCTTTTTCGTGATAAGCTTTATATTGCTTGAATGGTTCACTGAGTCAAGTCGATACTTTCTCGTGTCAGAATGGAGCACAAAGGTCCATTTTACTGCTGTAATAGAAAATGTTAGCACACTATATTACTGCTATGCTACAAAAGTATAATAACAACCGTTATTACATCAGACTTTAGACTCTGACACTTTTTTACACTCTTTATCAGAACCGATGGGCCCAAACTGCAAAGACAGAATTGTACATTAAAGCTATTTGGACATGTTGTCCACACAGCAAACATGCTATAATATGTCCGTCGTTGAGTGTCCTAACGTGTCCCCTCTTCTCTTCCTCTCCACGTCCAGGCTGAGGAAGGAAACATCGAGTACAAGGTAACAAACCCTTCGGCTCCAGCTCAGATTTACCACCACGCAACTTCTTCGCATCGAACGGCAGAACGTGCAGAGTGTATTCTGAGATGCTGTAATCTTGTGAACCCAAAGGCCGCCAGCTTGATTTGAGCTCAAACACAATATTAATATTGCAGCAGTATTTGCTGGCGCCACGTTAATTTGAATGCAGCTCGTGGTGTGATTCTTGTGTCTGATGGCTGCGATAACGCCGTTATCCTCCATTAAAACAGACTTTGAACTTCTCTCATCAGGGTTTTCTGGACACTATAATCTTAGAAAGGGTGTAACAGTGGCGCGGATGAACTTTGGTTTTATGACGTTGGAGCGGCTTTATTTCCACGATGGTCGATCCAACGCTTGTGTCGGGAAAAAATATCTCATACCTAATATATTACAATTTTAATGAATTCTTTTCCGCCTCATAAGTAAATCTGTTTATTTATTTTCAACACTTTTTTTCTGTAACTTTAAATATTATTTTTTTTATTGTTGTTTATCTTTGTTTAATGATTAAATAAACTCCCTTAAAAAATTTGATTTGCATGTTATTTTACTATTTGGTTATTTTTGTGTTTATAATTAAAGTTACAATTTATAGCTGAAATTATAGTGGACAACAACACCATTAATATTAAAGGCACTGATAATCCGCCTTATATTATTCATTATTACAAGCTTTTCATTTAGTTGTTAAAGAATTGCCATCAAGACATTTGAGACATTTTAAAGTTTAAAGGATACAATTAAACTCACCGCTGCCCTCTGGTGGACAAACCCGGAAATGGAGACACAAGTCTGTTACAAAATACAATGAGAATTATCACTATTTTCTAATATTTTACAGGAAATGATTAACCAACGAGAATAGATGTGTGCTCCAAATATATTATCATTTCACTTTTAGATTAAATCTTACAGCCAGTTTGGCCCAAACTGCGTGATATTTACCCATTTGTCCCTCTGCTGTTGCCGTAGCTGAAGCTGGTTAATCCCACGCAATATCGCTTCGAGCATCTGGCCACGCAGCTGAAGTGGCGTCTGCAGGAGGGCCGCGGCGAGGCCGTCTACCAGATCGGCGTGGAGGACAACGGCCTGCTGGTCGGCCTGAGCGAGTCCGACATGAAGGCCTCGCTGCGAACCCTGAAGAGGATGGCGGAGAAGTAGGTCACCTCACTAGTGGCTCTGTGTCGTAGCGCTTAACGCCGCGGAAAGGAGCGATATTTAATCATCAAGCCATAATAATGAATGATTTTAACCTTCTTTCATCTCGCGCTGATCTAAAGTTGGCGTTCTGCTGTTAAAGTGAGCGATCGGGTTCTTCTCTCCTGCGTCTCACCAGAGTCGGCGCCGACATCACTCTCCTGCGCGAGAGGGAGGTGGACTACGACCTGGACAGAAACACGCGCAAAATCGCAGAAGTCCTGGTTCGAAAAGTTCCTGATGACCAGCAGGTGAGAACCTTCCCTCCTCCGATTGCTCGGAGGAGTCAGGTCCTCGAAGGTAAACCCAGGAGCTCCTTCAGAAGGTCCAGGTGGGACCATCACCAGATATGCATGTCAGTCCTGCGTATTCCCAGCATGCAAAGCGCACCCCACGGGCTGTTATTTGACCCCCTCCTTCCAACCGGACTGAACCGCACACTTTAAAACCTCACCTCAGGTCACGGAGGTCGCAAAGTACCGTGACCCCTCTCCTCCGTCGTGTTTCTTCCCTTTTTTGGGGACCGGGACAGTTCCTGGACCTGCGGGTGGCGGTTCTGGGGAACGTGGACTCGGGGAAGTCGACCCTGCTGGGCGTGCTGACGCAGGGCGAGCTGGACAACGGGCGAGGCCGAGCGAGGCTCAACCTCTTCAGACACCTGCACGAGATCCAGACCGGACGCACCTCCAGCATCAGCTTTCGAGATCCTCGGCTTCAACAGCAAGGGGGAGGTGAGAGGGGGAGGAAGAGGGGGAGGGAGAGACGGAGATGTGGGAGGAGGGAAAGCGCGAGAGAGGTAGCTTTTTTTTTTTTTTTATATCGGCTGTGACGCTGTCGCTCGCTGCAGGTGGTGAACTACAGCGAGTCGCGGACCGCCGAGGAGATCTGCGAGAGCTCCTCCAAGATGATCACCTTCATCGACCTGGCCGGACACCACAAGTACCTGAAGACCACCATCTTCGGCCTCACCAGCTACTGCCCCGACTTCGCCATGCTGGTGGTGAGCGCCAACACCGGCATCGGTGAGCCGCCGCTGACTCTGAGTGTGTGTGTGTGTGTGTGTGTGCAGACATTGTGGTCCGTTAGCATCATCACCGTCAATAACCTGATCAGTAAGTGGACTAATTGTTCAGCCCTCATTAAGTGTTGGAGGAATAATTAAAAACAACACCCGATGTCACCACTAGAGGTCAGAAGAGGTCAACGTTAAAGTGAGTTCATTTTGCATTCCACCTAATAAAGCGTTATGTAGTTAATTATTATCCCCCAGAAATACTATTTACACTTCAACTAGTATTGATGAATAATTACGACTACGGTCCAAAATTTCTTGGCTTTGTCAAATCAAAAATGTTTCAGTTTTATTAGTAAAAGCAGAACGTTCTCACATTATAAAAGTTAAACCTGCGGGAGTGTTCGGTTAAGTTAATATCCAGATATATTTAACTTTAGGTAATAAGATGATTTTATATTTGAAAGAAAAGGAAATTAGAATAAAATCACACACATCTTTTAATAAATACTAAAAAAGTGTGTGATTCTCTCCTGGTACCCGCCAGGTGGTTTCTGGGTAATGAAGTGTTTTATCTTTGACGCCAGCATGCTCACAGTGTTCCCGCTCTCCTCCGTCCAGCCGGCACCACCCGGGAGCACCTGGGCCTGGCCATGGCGCTGAAAGTTCCCATCTTCATCGTGGTCAGTAAAGTGGACCTCTGCTCCCGCGGCACCGTGGAGAGAACCGTCCGCCAGCTGGAGCGCCTCCTCAAGCAGCCGGGCTGCAACAAGCTGCCGATGGGCGTGGCCAACCCGGACGACGCCGTGACGGCCGCGCAGCAGTTCACCCAGTCCGCCTGGTGGGTACAAGTACTACTAGTAGTACTACTACTACTGCAGTAACCCAGTCCGCCTGCTGGGTACAAAGCAGAGCACGTCAGCTGGTTCCCGTGTTAACTGGAGCCAAACGCTGCTTTTCTACATGTTGTGTTCTTCTCTTTTAGGCCCGAGTGAAACAGTGTTCCGCTTTGCATACAGTGGACAAAATAATAGAAACACCTGTCAGTGTGATGATGTAAGTTTCCATTGTGTGTGTGTGTGTGTGTGTGTGTGCGCAGCATCACGCCTATCTTCACCCTGTCCAGTGTGTCTGGAGAGAGTCTGGACCTCCTGAAGATCTTCTTAAACATCCTTCCTCCACTGAGCAACAGCAAGGAGCAGGAGGAGCTGATGCAGCAGCTCACCGAGTTCCAGGTACACACACACACACACACGCACACACACACACGTTGATAGCAATAAAAGACAACAATAAGAAAATAATTAATGAAAAATCACATTAGAAGAAAATGTCAAACAAACTGAGCTGGTTTGTAAAAATCCAGCTTTGAGAGAACATTAAAAGCTGGTTCTTGATCTAGATTTGATGGTGTGTGTCTCTGTGTGTGTGTGTGTGTGTGTGTGTGTGTGTGTGTGTGTGTGTGTGTGTGTGTGTGTGCGCTTGCAGGTGGATGAGATCTACTCTGTTCCTGACGTTGGGACTGTGGTGGGAGGAACTCTGTACAGGTGAGCTCACGCCGGGGAAAGCATTTAAATCCCGTTATCGGCCCGGACGAGCTCTCTGCTGAGCCCCCGTGTGTGTGTGTGTGTCTGCGTGTGTGCGTGCGCTTCAGCGGCGTGTGCAGGGAGGGCGAGCGGCTGGTGGTCGGTCCCACCGACGAGGGCCGCTTCCTGCGCCTGAAGGTGGGCAGCATCCAGAGGAACCGCTCGGCCTGCAGGGTGCTGAGGGCGGGGCAGGCGGCCACGCTGGCCCTGGGGAACTTCGACCGCTCGCTGCTGCGCAAGGTCAGAGGTCACGCGACCCGGGGACTGTGCGGTGGGATGTTACGTCGCCCCCCCTGGTCCCGATCCAGCACCCGTCCCTCGGGCAGGTGACGCTTGAGATCCGTAGGGCCTTTTACAGAAATGATCACTTTGAGGATCGTAGCGTTAGCAAGCAATCCGCTTTCTAACGAGCCCAATGCGGGATGCTAACATGCTAACATGCTAACATGCGGCGCTGAGAAATGTCCCCCGTACCAATTAACGAGGTGACCTTCTGACACCTCCTGCAGGTCTGTTTTCCTTTCTTTCTCGCTGGTCCTAAAGATCGAAGGCTTTCTCTTCCTTTTTTCCCCTCGTCCATCCAACTTCTCCATCTTCCCGTGTTCGATTAAAAACTTTCAGTTTTGTGTCGCCGTGGCGAGAAAAGACGTCAACGCCTCCATTTTTGAAAAGACTGCTGAGTCCCTTTGTTCTCTGATGTCAGCGATGTCTTCCAGGGGATGGTGATGGTCAGTCCCAAGATGAACCCGACCATCTGCTGTCAGTTTGAAGCCGCCATCGTCCTGCTCTTTCACGCTAAGACCTTCCGCCGGGGGTCACAGGTCACCGTGCACGTGGGCAACGTCAGGCAGACGGCCACGGTGGAGTGTCTCCACGGGAAGGTGTGTGGACGCCGGGGACGCCATCAAGGGCCTCAAGGCTTCACGTTATGACATGTGACCCCCCCGCTCTCTCTCTCTCCCTCTCTGCTGCAGGACGAGCTGCGGACGGGCGAGAGAGCCGTGGTTCGCTTCTGCTTCATCAAGCACCCGGAGTACCTGCGACTGGGCGCCAAGCTGCTCTTCAGGGAGGGCGTGACCAAAGGCATCGGCCACGTCACCGGCCTGCTGCCCGCCTCCCAGAACCACGACCAGAACCAGAACCACGACCAGAACCTGCCGGAGCATCAGAGGCCGCCCCCCGACCGACGTGGAGCTCCGTGAGAACTCCGGGCCGCTGGGACGTCATCGGTGCGCCTGCTTCTTCGCTCCCGCCGCCTCGTGCCGCGCTTTGTAATTCTCGCCGTGGTGAATGCGTGCTGCTGAGCGTCCGTCATCATCGTCATCATCGTCATCTTCCTCTCAGCAGACCTTCATGTCTTGGGTTTAATCCGACTGAGCTCAGCAGACTTAAACCCGGATGATTAATGCGATATCATCTGATGTTCCTCTGTCATAAGGAGACGGGCTGGATTATTCGGGGGTTGAGAAGAATTGAAGAAGTGAATCAGCGTTTTGGGGGTCGGGATTAGTATCATTTTATCATGGTGTAAAACAGGGAAGCAGCTCATCGTCACATCGAAACTTTGACAAGATGCTCTAGTGTAGTTTTTGATTGATGAGACTAAGGATTAAAACACTTTAGCTTAGTTCAAAGTCAAACCTTTTACCCAATATAAGAACTTCCTGGCTTGAACTTGTAATTTGTATTTTATTAAAGTCCCAATTTCTTTTATATTTTATAGAGAATTTGAACTGACTGAAAGAAATGCGCCTCGACTGCAGTAAGAAACCAAACTGGAGGCTGTTTCTATGTTAGCTGCTAACCAGCTAACTAGCTTTGGTTAGCTCTCTGCTAGCGTGGTTAGCTCTCTCTCTAGCTGGCAAGTGACCTCGTCTGCTTTAGCGCGTTAGCTCCGCGGCTACGGCGGCTCGTCCACTCGCACAGCTGATCATCGATCCATCATCGGTGGGCTAATTCACGTTCCGACAGAGTGACCTCTGACCCCCGGCTCATCGTATCTGCTCCACTCATGTGCACTTTATTCACCTTTGATCATGAAATGCATTTAATCCCTTCTGTCGTCTCACAGACTGTTTATTTTCTATCCCCCCCCCAATCGAGTCTGATATAAATAACCAGACTACAGTCAATAATAGTTCACAACGTTAGAGGAGGACATGAACCGGAGGAAGATGTATCGGCCGTTGAGTTCCAGCTGCTTCTGAAGCCTCGTCATGAAACATCTGCATTGGACCAACGATGGACGCTGGAATACTTTTTATCTTTGCTCTGATTATTATCCGTCCGTGTTCAGAGCCGTTTGGTGTGTTGCAGCTAAACGTGACCTGCATGAGGAAGAAAAACAACCACAACACTCTAATCTTCTCGTTTGAACTGTGAAGTGATACATGACGTGTTTGAACCGGTTTCTTTGTCTGATTTTCTTTCCCGCTCGATACCGAATGTACTTTCCACGGATCCTGCGTCGCGTCCGAAGCCGCTCGCGCTGCTCTTTGTATTCTGGTCCTGCATGTGATGCTGCGGAGCATCTTACCGAGTCCCTCTAACTAAATAAACTGTGGAAACAAGACTAAGGCTGTTATTTCACAACATTCATAAGCAACATTGAGGAAAGTCGGTGTGATTTGTTTCCTTTTATTTTTTTCTTAAAGAAAGATAATTGTATTGTTCTCAGTCTTCGTCAGTGAAAGATGAAGAAATCAGTTTGTTATCTGTGGAAAAGAGGGAGGTCCAGGAAGTGTTTAGCCTAGCCTAGCCTAGCTTAGCACAACGACAGGAAGCAGGTGGATCAATAAGGAAAATAATAAAAAGACACAACTTGCCTCCTCTTGTTTAAAATCGTCTTTGGAGTTAATTTAAGCTGATCAGGCGTTATATTGGAAAATGTCAAATTTATAAAAATACTGCCGACACATTTTGAGGAGTTTGTTTTAAGTCCTCAACAAAAAAAAGACAGATGAAAGGTTATAACTTACATTTTTACTTCATGACATTTGATGCTGTAGATTCTCTTAACGTTATCTTTTAAAAATGACACTAACTCTTTGAACCTTTATAACAACAATAAAGAAACAGATCCAAACCGTACTTTTCAAGAACAAATAGATCCATCGAGTCCACAAACGAGTGTCATGAGAATCAAACTCACAGCCTGTTTACAGTCGAGCACATCTGGCTACAAACATATAAATAATTAAAGTAACCTGCAATTTATCATTCGGTTTGAAACTTGTTAAAACAAGTTTTTATTCCCTCAAATCACAAATCACTTTAGTTACTATCTTGTAAGAAAGAAAACACCCTTCCAAAGTAAAAGACTTGTTAAATATTTGTTATGGTTCCAGGAGTGACTAAACAGACCTTTGGGACTTTGTGTTTTCTGTCTTTATGCCGACTGTAGCAATTCTTTTAAATAAAATAAAATACATTAAAAGAGAAGAAAGAATTACAGCATGAAGCAAGAGTCACTTTCTGTTTTTGGGGCCCCCGAGGCCCCCGGGGCCTTTCTGTCGGAGGCTCTCAAAAGAAAGAAAGAAACCTGACTGACGCTCCAATGAACCATCCTTTCGTCTCTCGTCTCCTCGGCAACGACAAGGAGCTCCTCGGGACATTCTTTGTGCTGAGGTCGGAAAACCAAACAGGTCCAACAGCCGTGAAACGTCTCTCTGTCTCTTGTCTCCCTCTCGGCGACCCTCCTGGACTCCCGGGGGTTCGAACTCCTCCTGGTGACCATCGGGTCGGGTGACGCCCCCTCAGGCCAGGCTCCTCTGCCGCGGCTTGATCCTGAGATACAACTGTGGAAATAAAAAGGCCTTTCTCGTTACAAACACGTCGCGGTGACATTAGAACACCCAGACTTCTCAGCGCTGCTTAGAAACAGAGCGGCAGGGTCGACGGTTCAATTCCTCGTGCCGCTCAACGCGGAGAGGCAGGTAGTTTTAACGTTTAGAGAATAAAGCTTTAAACAGGTTTGAGGTTGAAGAGATTAATCCATTCTTAACATAATTAGAATTTCTCCTTCATCAAAATGTCAGGAAACTGACAATAAATGTCTACACGTCCGCCTCAGAGCAATTATCAATCAATCCATTAAGAGCTTTGGCAGAAGACCGGCTCACCCCCAGCAGGTTGCGGGGGATGTAGCCCTCGCTGTCGCCACATCTGGCCCACCACCACTCCGTCTCCGCCTCGTCGTCGCGCCGCAGCACCGTCATGCAGTCGCCCTCGCTGAAGCCGAGCTCGTCGTCCCTCTGCGGCTCGTAGTCCCACAGCGCGTAGACCACGCCGCGGTTCATCACGCCCATCTTCTCCTGAACGCCTGCTCGCACGCGCGCACACACACACACACACAGATCTTTACCCAGAGAGCTCCTTGTGGAACCGTGCAACCTCCTCAGAAACCCCCCCCGCACATTTGATGTGGACCCCTGTGATGTCAATGGGATCACTGGGAATGTGTCGATGGTCGATCTGACCCTCTTCCCAGAATCCTCACAGGACCCCACGAAACCGCCCCCCCCCAAAGGGTCCCGAAGCCCCGCGAAGAGTCTCGCGGGGTTCTGTTCGGCGCAGGTAACGCTGCGTTTGGCCTCACCGTAGAGGAACTGGGAGCACTGGGCGTAGCCGTCCTCCATCTCCTCGCACTTGTCGGCGGCCGTCTGCATGTCGCTGTACGTGGTGGCGAACACCGCCGCCCCCGACTCCACCAGGAACTTGCAGACCTGGACGTTGTTGCAGGAGGCGGCGCAGTGGAGCGGCGTCCTGCAGGTCGAGGAGGGAGAGAGCGGTTTGAAAAGGCTCCGTCCCAGACGTGCGAGTCCCCTCCCACTATCTCCCAAGACGCTTCAAGCCGGCCAATCGCAGCTCGATCGACGATGTCGGGACTCACCAGCCGTCGCTGTCGGCGGCGTTGGCGTTGACCCCGAACTGCACCAGAAACTTGACGATCTCGGCGTGGCCGGCGCAGACGGCGTTGTGCAGCGCCGTGATGCCCTCGTCGTTCGGCGAGCTCGGGTCGTCCACCTGCAGGACGGACGCGTGGACACAAACACTTTGATTGAATTTATCGGCGGGATCTAAATGTTGACGCCGATACGACTCAACAAAAGATATTTTAAATGTCTGTTTTACAAACGTACCCAATGAATTAAACAGAAACCATCTAAAGATCACACATGTGCTGTTATAAGCGGCGGGCGGCGAGCGGTTGTGGGGGGGGGACTCACGTCGTAGATGACCCTCTGGACGAGGTCGTACTCGCCCTCCAGAGACGAGTCCAGCAGCAGGGCCAGAGGGTTGAACTTGACCCGGATGCTGCGGTCGATCCGCTCCGAGTCGGCTTTCCGGAGGATCGACCTCTTACCCTGAGGGGGAGGGGGGGGTCGTTTTTTCATAATTTGGGCGAGTGACGCTTTAAAGCACCAATCAGAAGGTGTTGCTGTGGTAACACTCACCGGGGGCACCGTCACCTGGCCCGTGACCTCCGGCGGCTGCAGGTTGTGCGAGTCCTCGCTCTGCTCCGCCTCCTCACAGGTGGGGTAAGGTGGGGGCGGGTAGGGCGGGAACTCGTCGGCGAAGTAGTCCAGGCGGGCCGAGGCGGGCGGACAAACCTCCTCCTCTTCCTTGTCCTCCAGAGGGGGGGCCAGGGAGCGGCATGGGGCGGGGTCAGGGATGGGAGCGCGGGGGGGCAGAGGGGGCGGGGTCTTGGCTATCGGCTGGCGGAACATCGCATCCGCACCGCCGCTCCCGTCCTCGTGAGGCTGGACGTGCGTCGTCCTCGCCGGGCTGGGCGTCTCCGCGGGGACGGTTTCCATGGGGATGGTTTCCATGGCAGCCAGCGTGGTTTTCTGGTAGAGCAGCTTCTGGATGTTGGGACCCGCCGGGCCCTCGGGCTCCGTGATGGAGCTGCGTTTCTTCAGGGGCCGCGGCGCGTGGTGCAGCCGGCGGCGAAGGGCCTCCAGGTCGGCGTCGCTGGGGTTCCTGTGGGGGTTGGACAGGAAGGGGAGGAGCTTGGTGGGGCTCAAGGGGCGCGGGTTGCCTCGCTCCGCCGCCTCCGCCCCGACGCTTTCGCCGTTGCCCCGGCAACCGGTGTCAGCCTCGCTGCCGTCTGTAGCGCAAGACCCGGAGCTGGCGGCGTCCGTGGCGGCGGCCTGCTGGCCCCCGCTAGCTGGGAGCACTGGTTTCCCGTATACTGGGAGGAGACACAATAAGTCTGTTAATGCATTACGCAATAATCACAAATCCCACTGAGACTTTGATTCCTTTTCTGCTTCTCCAATATGAAGATGCTGCTTTCTGAATCCTGCATGAAGGTCAATTAAACAACTGTTTTTTAGTAAAAGGAAATTTATCTTAAGCAAAGTTAAAAATAAACAGCTGTTGGTGACTTTTTATAACTTAACTTAGAACGCATATGTATAATTAAACAATAAACATGTACGAGTAATTCATTATGATGGACATGCATTAATAAATAATTTAAATTAGAATAAATAATTTAAAATTAATATAAGAAACTGTTAAGAAAGCATATACAAGTTTCATTTTCTAGTTTACTTAACCTGTTAAATATAGTTAATATAGTGCAAACAGGAGCAGGTTGAAAGTGTCTAAAATCAGTTTATCTAACACAGCAGTTATTACTTTGCTCCTGTTCCATTTACCTCGAAAAACAGTCAAACTGTCCCTTCGGGTGAAAAAGAAAAAGAAGAAAGCGCGTCCTGAACTACATACAGTACATATATATATATATATATATATATATATACTGTATATATATATATATTCAGTGTGCATCACCTCTGGGCTGGCTGCGGGGCAGCGTTCTCTGGCCCACGTAGCCCTTCCCTTGCTGGGTGTACATGGAGTAGATGGACGAAGCCGCCACCCTCTGAGGCTTCTGCAGCACGGGGGGGGGGGCCTCCGAGAGCTCGGGGGTGTACGGGCGCACGGCGGCGGCCGGCGGACTCTCCTGCTTGCTGGGCAGAGGGAGGGTGTGGCAGTAGCTGGGCAGGACCCCCGGGGCCTTGAGGAGGCCCCCGACCGGCCGCACCTTACCGGGGAAGGTCCCGGTGCTGTAGGGCGGCTTGGAGACGGTCGGCGGGCCAGTGGAGGAGAACGGTTTGGGCTTACTGGGGACCGGAGGGGGCGCCGCCATCTTGGGAAGACCTTTACCGGAAGCCTGAAGGCGAACGAGTTAATGGAGAAATGAATAACATTAGAATCAAGTATTCAGGGAACAGGAAGCATTCATCTGACCTACAGATCATCATTAAAAGCTTTTACTTTGAAAGGACAGGATACTGCTGCTGGCTCACTGGATTCCAACAAAATGCTCCTCGTTGTTTTAATTTCTCCCCGTAAACAAACGTGTAACAACAGGAAATAGAAGCGAGAGTCCCTTTGATACCTGATTGTCTCTGGGCAGGTTCTCAGTGATGTGATTGGTCCGTGAAGGGACAGGGGGCGGGATGTCGGACCCAGACAGGGCCTTCTTATCTGTGAGGGTCTTGCCGTCTACAAAAGACAAGGGGGGGGGGGGGGCGATAATCAAAACTAACGGCATTTTCAAACAACATCGGCACGGTTTTAAGTCTCTCTGAGAGGAAGTTGATCCTGAAGTCCAGAGTGTCCCTGAACGCACCGACAGTGAGACTTTTACCAAAAAGTCAATATCTGAGAACCAAACCAAACAGATGCTTCGTGAAGCTTCATATGTGGACCTTCGTATCTACCTGAGCGGTGGCTGCCGAGGCCGGACATGCGAGGCAGGGTGGAGGCGTGGCTGTAACCGCCGCCGGACTCCGGAGACGAGCCGCTCCAATCAGAGAGTTTGCTTATTTTTGATGAGGAAAAACCTTTAAGGAGAGGAGAGAAACACCCTGTAGGTACACGTTGGTCCAAATGACCTCTTACGGTCTCTCTGACTGTCGAGGGGCCCCCGGGCGCGGTACCTGAGGCGGGTTTCACCGGTCTGGGAGGCGGCTTCGCCGACGAGTCGGGCATCGGCAGCGTGGCGGTGCCGTCCGGGTACGCCGGCTTCACCAGAACCTCGTGGCGCGCCGGCACCGGAGGCCCCTGGGAGCTCGTGGTGGAGGACGACTGGATGTAGGGCCCCACCGCCGCCACTCGGGAGCCTGCGCCGTGCTGGGGGGCCACTCCGTCTGGGGCCACCTGGGAGGCAATTGACAGCTGAGTGAAATGTCTGCAGACATGTGCCGGTACTCGTCCCCGGCGTGTGCACTGACCGGCAGGTTCTCTTTCTGCTGCAGCGCCGCCTTCTTCTTCCAGAGCCGCTGGCGGAGCTCGGCGAGCCGTCGGTCCATGGAGGCCACCTCCAGGTTCCTCTTGCTCAGGCCGTCTCTCTGCTGCTGCAGCCGGCTGCTCTGATCCTGGTTCAGCTTGTTTCTCAACTGCCGCGACGGAGACGCAGCGCGGTCAAACAACAGGTTTGCTACTGCCGCACGTTAGCTCGTTAGCGTAGCCTCCAAAGAGGTTCTCACCTGCAGCTCCTTGTAGAGGCGCTCAAGCTCGGCCGCGGAGGAGGTGTTGTGGTGAAGATGGATAGGAGGAGGAGGAGTAGGGGCCTCCAGTCTGTTGCTCCTCAGCTCCTCCAGCTGGTCGCTCAGCTCCTCCACCCTCGACACGGCGACCAGCAGCTCCCGCTGCTTCTGCTGGAACAGACCGGTCATCTGCTCGATCTCCTCCACTGAAAGCAGATATTTACATTCACATCTGTGACGCTCTGCAGAGCGGAAAGGTTTCGCGCACAAGCGGTTCGCTGCCCCCCTTCCCCCCCCGGAGCGCCGCCGTCCCACCGACCTAGCTTGCTGTTGCTGAGGCGCTTCTGCTCCACCTGGCCCCGGAGGGCCCGCACCCGTCTCAGCTTGGCCTCCTGGTTGTTTGCGTTCTCTCTGAGCTGCTGCAGCCGCTCCTCCTCCGACGGCTCCTGCTGCTGCTGCGGCTGCCGCTGATCCTGCAGCTTCAGGTAGCGCAGACGCTGCTCCTGCAAAACGAAAGCACGCATTCAGTTCCTCGACTTACTGGAGAACTTGACTTACCCCTCCACAGACGACAGTCAGAGTCAGGAAGGTGTGGAGACTTTGCACATTTGAGAAATGATAGATTTCATTCATATACTGTATTTTGGTGGCACTGTGTGTTTGTTTAGTCCTGTGTGTATTGCATTAAAAAACCTTTCACAACGTTCCCTTTGTTGCAGTGACACAAACTGCATAGTTGTCTTAAACAAACGGAAGACAATCCCGCATTAGAAAAGACTCAAGAGGCGGGAAAATATAAATAGATTTAATTATTTTGATAATAATGGCAGGAAGTGATGGCTAAGGGTTTGCATGTATTTTGGTCATTCCAACCGACGGTCGCATAACATTTTATTTTTGCCTACAAAAGGTTCAGATGATGGATTTAATGGTGGTCATGTGAACAGTTCTAGCAGCTCCATGTGAAGGCTCATTTTGGGGCAGTGATGTCATCAGTGACGTCAGCAGCGATCGGCCGTTGTTACCTTGGAGGCCAGCAGCTGCTGCTGCGCATTGATCTGCTGCTGCTGTCGGGTCGCCAGGTCCTGCAGGTCGCTCAGCGTCACGTCCAGACGAGGATCGGAGACCTGCAACACACACACACACACACACACACACACACACACACACACACACACTCAGAGTTCACCTTCAAGAGGATGAGATCCAACTTTCAGAGAAGCCTTCACAGCAAAACGCACAAGTTATGGATTCAGCCTCTCTTTGAATCGAGCTAGGCTAACAGTTTCCCCCTGCTTCCAGTCTTTGTGCTAAGCTAGGCTAAACACGCCCCTGAGAGGGACGCAGGGAATGGAGTCTCACCCCGTTCTCCAGACATCTCTCCACAGAAGCTTTCGCCTGGTTCCTCCTTATCATCTGATCTGCAGCTCTGGATCCACCTGCACATGAAAACAGGGTTCAGCGTTTTCATTAGTACCAGTGCTTCTGGTTTATGAACAGATAAAAGCAGAACAGATGACATCCCCATCAGCGTGTGTTAACTTTCGCTATCAGAACTAGGCTGATGTCACGTTGAAAAGTTTTTTTTTTTTTCACATCCAGCGTCGCTCTTCTGGAGAGAAGAAATCTGGCCGCTGTGACTAAATACAAACATCCGTCTCCTTTTTCTGCAGCGGTTTCACCGCGTTCTGGAGTCAACATCCAGGTCAACACCGACCCGACGGAGGAAACTGTCCGACTGGTTGATCCGCACAGGAAAAGAGCCATGGGGGGGGATCCCTTTTGTTGTTGTTTGTGGTCACAATGCTGCAGCGGGTCCTAAGCGCGTTACCCGTTTGTCCTTTACTGCTTCTGTTACCGTACCGACGCTGCTGCACCAAAACACACAGCTGGAGGCAGATGTTTGCTTACACTCGGTTACAACGAGTGTGTGTCTGTCACATTTCTCCACGGTGACTCGACTCCTCGCCAGGGTCCAGATCAGCAGACTGGCGTTCTTTACTCTTATTCAAGTCATCTTTAAAAACAACCCCCACCCCACCCTCTCACCCCCGACCAATCACAGGGAGGCAAACACGCGGCCTCCCGCTGTGCGCTGGTGAGGCAGGTGTGTGTGTGTGTGTGTGTGTGTGTGTGTGTGTGTGTGTGTGCGTGTGTGTGTTTCTCTCACCCGACTCTCTTGCCGGAGCTCTCTGGTGACGCAGGAGGTAGCGAACCTCCCCCCCCTGCTGCCCCCAGCGCTGCAACACCTCCACCATCCGCTCCCCTTCGCCCACGACGTGTTCTGAGGGGTTTAAAGTCACGACAGGCTCATTCCAGGAAGGTCGGCTGAGAGAGGAAATGAGTCGTGCGGGGGGAGGGGGGGAGGGAGGGGGCTCACCTGCGCCTCTCCACGCCTCGGCCAGGTAGCAGTCGGCCTCGCCGGGCTCCTTGCAGAGCTCCACCACGTCTCTGCACAGCGTCTCCGGCGTGATGGGGACCTCGCTGAAGTGCTGCTCGTTGTTGCTGAGGTACACGGTGAGGAACATCTACGGACAGACGCAGCGCGGCCGTTAGGGTCCTGCTGTTGCTCGTAATAACCGCTGCGGAGGTTTTATGATGAAAATGTAAATGTTTGGCCTGTAAAGGAGGTGATGAGGTCACTTCCTGTCTGCAAAGACTATAAGAGTCGCTCAGTTGGAGAAAGTTTCTCTGCAACTGAACAGAGCATCTCAACAGTGAAATAAATAAAACAAAATGTAGGAATTGGTGATGGCGACGTACAGTAATTATTGAGCCTTTAAAACATTTTTTCTTTAACAGATTGTGTTGATGAATGAACCAGTGCGACATGTGACGCGCTCAAACCGCCGCCTTCACCTTTACAGCAGCTTCCTGTGCTGTTCGGGACAATAATAGACATTCCTTTATTTATATAGAAGTAACTGTCGCGATGCACCGGGCCATCTGTTACTGCAGCAGGGTACCTGCCGCCGGGCCCCGAGCCAGAACAGCCTCCCGCAGCCCGCCAACGGGCGCCGCCGCCAACGGGCGCCGCGGCAGCGCTTCAAGCTTCTGCTCACGCTGCGCGGGTGGTGCAAAGACTCGCCTCGCTCAGAGGAGGAGGTTCAACCGGCCAGGCGGAGCGGGCTTTGTTTGTTTGTTTGTGGAGCATATTTCATACAGACCATGTAATAAAATAAAAACTGAAAACCTTCCTTCCATCAGTCGGAGGAAAGGAACCGTTTGGGATTTAAATTTGAACACCTGAATACGTGAAGTAAAAACCGTTAAATTAAATCTCCTGTCAATCACAGCTTGTCGCCTATAACACGGGGACGTTCAGCGCGTATGAACAGCGTTTATTGGCAGGAACAGAGCAGCCCTGAAGCGATTCGGGATTCGTCCTCTGGGGACCACGACGGCCTGGAGGAGATTTCGTGGCGTTCCATCCGGCATGTGGCGGCGGGTGCACGGGGGCTGTTCTGCGGCGGTTGTATTTTTGTGTTGTCACTTGGAGGTAAGAGACAGAGGAGTGTGAATCTGGAGCACACAAGCAACGAAGAGCTTAAACGACGAGCTGCTAAAACGCTGAATCGGTGTTTGTTTAAGATCCTTGATCACCGCGGGAGAGGAACCTTTTTAGGGGGATATCTGGCCTCCAACTAAAAGGCTCCGCGTGTGACGAGGGGCCACATCCCAACAAGAGCATCGTCCAACTCAACACAGCGGTCTGCAGAGGTGGCTCGTTGGTTTGGTGCAATAACAGGAAACCCAGAAACCCCTTTAAGTCCAACC